AGAATCAGTAATATAGTTATTATAATCTGATTTAATTTACTTGGTGAAAATTAATTGAATAATCGAATTTGCATGTTAAGAAAGTATAAGTTGCGTTGGAGAAGTTATGGGGTCTAATTCTACTAAAGCAAAAAAAAACTGAAACTAATAATAGAAAAAAAAAAAAAAAGAGAATAGGTAAATTGATTTCCTTGAGCTTTTCACAATGGCATAAGTGATCATACTGGTCCTGTGCCGCATCACATACTGTGCAGCTACCCTAATATAATTATAGTTATTGTCACAAAGTAGGCAATAACTGATTTATTCTTCCAGTTCTTATTATACTTTAGTACTTTTTTTAAAATTAAAGTTATGTGTTTCATAAAGTTTAGCCTTACTATAATCTCAAGACTTCTCTTATTTTTTTTTACTTACATTTCTTTGGCAAACAATATTTACTTTTTTGTTAACAATTTTAATAATTTAAAAATTCATTATATCAATAAAAAAAGTAAAAAAAATAATTACCAATATGCATGTTATTTTAAATATATGAGAGTATGCATATGGCTGTTATTTTGAAACAAATATAAATTTTTAATTATCTACATATATAAATATAAACAAACAAAAATGCTCTGAAAAGAGTGTAGTGATTTAGTGAAGTGATTAAGTTGTTGCATCCCCAAGCAATATGTTGACTAGATAGAGAGTTTGAAACCTACTAGTGATAAATTTTGAATATTCTACTTGTATGACAACTACTATCTTCTTTTGACAATTAGTTAAAATAGGATCTTTATAACCTTGGTAGCACCAACAAGATTGGGAGATTATAGGGTATTTGTATAATGTATAAGTTATATAAATATATTCTCAGATCATATTAATTCATGAAACCAGAAAGATGGATATCCACTTGGCAAGACCTAAGTAGAGTAGTAGTACAGACCTTTGATGGTACTATATAAAGAATTATTATCAGAAAAACTAGCAAAACTAAACAGAACTGAAGTATTTGGCAAGACACTTCACTAACCAGTTTACTAGAGAAGTAGCTAAAGGAAAAGAACTCAATCATGGAGACCAAAAACATGTTATAGCTCTTTTGGACCATCTGAATTGGTAGTATGAGATAATCAAAATACTGTTGATAGTCTGTAAAATGTATACTAGGTTTGGGTAAACTTTGCAAAAGTAGAAGTAAGTAACAGTAACAGCTTCAGCTTGCAATTACCTGTTTTCAGACTCAGTGTAAATTATTGAAAACTAGATTGAGTATAAAAAGCTCTAGCAGGTTTACTATGAGGATAAAGTAGTTCTAAGGAGCCTTAGTAGCAGTTAGGCAGTAATAAAAATAACATGATAGTATAAAGTTGATCAGAGAGTTTAAATAGGAAATCTATAAGCAGATCTTAGATGTGGCAATTGGTGAATAACTACAGTCAGAGATTTTTTAAAATTTGAAGATCATTTCTAGAATAATCTACCACATGTATTGATATTTAATTAGTGATCAATAATCTTTTTATAAAAAAAAATCTGTAACTTTTCATCAATCTAGTGCTATAGTATTGCAATAAAGATCAAGCAATAGCTATCACAATACATATTTTCAAATACGTAGATTCAGAATCTGTAGGGATCCCAGAGATATAACAAACTAATTTTTTCTTAAATTAAGTTTAAAAATTATATATTTTTATATATTTAGTAGCATGGATTCAAAACTGGAAGCTAAAAAACTGCCTTGCGTATTCACTTTGTTTGCTGAAAAGTATCCAGAAAGTGATTTACTAAAACATATAGAGAAATGCAAGCCAGAAGAGAATCAATATTGGCGAAATGCATTAGCTAATATGGTAGTTAAAAGAACAACAGAAATGCTAAGTATTTTTCTGAATTAACTTCATTTCTTAATTCTTTAGATTATTATTCTATGTGTGAATTGTATTATAATTATATTGTCACTAAATCTTCTTTTATTAATAAGTTAAAGACTAGTTTACATTCAGAAGAATCAGAGAAAAATATTAAAATTTTCTAATAACAATCTAGAAGTTCGTGATCTAGCCAAAGAAACTTCTACTTTTGGCGCTCAAGTTGATTCATTGAAAAACATTTAATGATTTTGGATCTCAAGTATCTTTTTTAGATTCAATATGTGAAATTCTTTAAAAAAGAATTGATGAGTTAGAAAGTTTTAATAAGCAATTGTTAATGGAGAATAAAACACTAAAAGACAACTAAGTGAAAACTTACTAAACAGAAAGATCATATTCAATTTGTAATAAAAATTGCAAAAAAAGAATAAAATAATTTATATGATGATATACTAAATTTAATGAAAAATCAGGAGCAATTTTGTTTAGATAGTCTTTTAGAGTATACTTTTTTCAAATAGCTTGCTGAATAGAATCTGATCGTAATCAATAGAAAACAGTCAATTTTTTTTGTAAAAAAAAATAATATAAATTACTTGTTATGTCAAGTAATAATAATAAATCTCTTGTTAATTAAATTACTTGTTATGCCAAGTAATAATAGTGAACCTCTTGTTAATTA